TATAATACCTTGAAATTAAAAAATTTATGAATAATTTTGCATGTAATTTAATTAATTTCAAATAATCACTTGTGTACATTGAATCATTAAAAAAAATATTTAAGTTACAAATCTATTCTGAATTTTTAAAACACGAAGAAATAAATTACAGAACAGTGCAATCCACTTTTGCATATATAAATTGAAAATCTATTTATAATATCTTTTATGAGATACTTTTAACAAGTAAAAGGCATTTTCCACTCACAATGGCATTTGACAATAGAAATTTTAAGATTACAATAAAGCATTCCTTTCATTTCTTATAATATTAATTTAATTTTTACATATTATAACATGTAATATACAATATAATAACAGTAATTATCTCACTTATTAATTTTAATTGTATCATAACTGCCTGAGAAAGTATTCTAGTGTAAGTAGTAAAAAAAACCAATTTTTTTATTTGATACATCAAAAGTATAACTCTTTAAAAATGTGCTTCTAAATGTTTGTAGTATTATTTAAAAAAAATAATAAAGTTAGAGATCTTTTTGCGTGACGTTGTCATAACCCGTCCGCAGGACCTCAAAACTTGAAACGCGTTTTTCTCGATACTGCATTTTTCGAATTGGTTGCCACGATATCTTAAAAACGCTATCACCACATGCATGGCTATCATCGGCACCTCAATTATACTAAAATATTTTTTTTCTGGTTTGTACAGTCATTTAAAAATAAAAAAAGCCTCAGAGAAACAAAAGTTTAAATTCAGAACGCTGCTATTTTTAAAATCTGACATTTCTTCCTTTTTGGTACCTTTGATAGCCTGTGATTTTTTTCAAGATATTCAGAACAACCCAAGTCATAGTAATCAGCAACTTACTTTTTCATACATAACTTTGACCTGCTCCAAAGCAGCCATTTTTAAATATTATTCAATAACAAAATTTATAATTATTCTTGAAAGATACTAAAAATCTAAATTTTCATAATTATTTTGTAAAAATAAACGTAAAAAATCACTCGTGACACTAGAATATCCCCATAAGTATTAAGTTAAGAGTTTGTCAATATGTATTATTAGATAAAAAAAGAACAACACATCGGAAAAATTAATATAAATTCAGTAATATTATGATTGAGCATGAGAAGAATATTTGCAGTATTTTATATAACATAATTTTATTTATTTATAATACATACACAAACGACTGTTCTTTTTGTTTTGTATTTCGTTTCCCTGCATTTATTTATTGTTATTTCTTTTCACCATTATCAGCAAGGTAGAGATAAGGTTTGTCAGCTCTCAACTAATTACTCAATATAGTGGGAACGTTGACACAATTATTAAATAAGTGATCGATAAAATACAATTATCAGAATGGAATATTATATACAAAAAAACAAAAATGAAGTATAAAATATTTAAAATTAAATAATTTTATGAACAATAAAACTAATTAATTAATTTACAAATAATGAAGCTATTTAAACAATAAAAAATGGGCAATAAATATCCATTGACTAAATGGATTAATGAAAAGATTAAGAAAAAAATGGAAGCTACACTATTTACTGATTAAAAATAATACATAATTCCCTTTCTTGTTAGTAGCTTTTTAAGAAAATTTGTTTGGGAATTTAAAAAAATGTGTTACATAATTTGGCCGAGTTATTAAAGATTTACGTGAACATTCCATAGTGTATAATTTTTGTTTCATATATAATATATAGTTTACAATGATTATGAGTAATTATTACTGAGATTTTTTTGTATAAAATAATAATAACAATAACATATTGCCTTATAGCATAGCGTGACACTATTTTAGATGTAGAATTTTTCTTTCAACAGTAAAAGACAACGAAGTCTAACAACCCCTTTAGCCGAACAATGTCGCAATCAGGGAATGCGTCGCAATCAGTGATCGGAAAATTAGTGAACGCAATGAACGACGAGAATTACTATTACGTTGGAGTAAGGGCTTCCCCTTTCGCGACTGATTGTGTTGTCTTTGGCTTAAATTCAGATGAAATTTTGGCTCTGTCCAAACGCTTTCCAATGAGTCATACCGTGGTGAATGGTGTTTTAATCAGTGGTTAGTTAACAATCTTTTACAATTTCTTTTAATTGTTTCTTATTTTTCTATACTTATTCATTACATTTATTTCTCTCTCATTTTATTACCCCATGCAGCGATATATCTCGTACAATAATCCTACACCTTCCTTGTCTACGTTTCAATATATTATTTTGAAAATTAAAATAGTATAGTTAGAGTATCTGCAGATGATGATCGAAAGTTAAATTAAATGGAGAAATTTAATTTTGCAGAAAATATCAACAAATTTCACATAGATAAAAATGATGATATTTCCTTCATTTCTGAAAATATTCCATATTAAAATATATTCTTATTTAAATTGGTTAAATGATTTTCCTATTGGGCAATCTTTCTTTTTTATGTAAATAGAAATAACTTTTCAAGTAAACAGCAGTCATTGGCACTTATTTCCATTTGTTTTTATACTTTTTTAGGTACATGCAATGTAATCATCATTTGCGTTCAGTCCAACTATACTGATAATATTAAATATATATATAACTTTTATAATTATAATTTATATAAAAATGACTTTTTATATAAATGTGTGCGCGCGCGCGCGCGCGCACGTACGCTCACGCACACGACACGCACACGACACGCACACGACACGCACCATACACACACACACACACATATAAAAAGTCATTTTTATATAAATTACAATTATAAAAGTGAAATATCTTAAATGGAATACAAGGTTTACCTGTAATATTTGTTTACATTAAAGATAGACTTGTTCACAACAAAACTTCACAATTTTTTTTATATTTAACGTAATATTAGTGTGAGCACAAAAATATACTCGGAATAGATGCAATTGCAGAAATTTTATCCGTCAACATATATTCGAATGCAGTAATGCGTCTTAAGCCAAATTAGGAATAACACCAGTTTGAAAATTAAATTTTTTTCTTCCTGTGAGCTGTTTGTCCCACATCTATATTTACTACGAATGATACTAGTTATCACTAAAAGAAGAATCGGTGAAATATTCGAAAACATTATGGTAATTTGTTATTATGAATTGACTTATCTCGATTACGTCTAACATTGTTCCTCCCTAAATTTGGAAACTGTTTCTAGATATTACGTTAGTTTTACAGTGTTTTCGGAAAAATTTCGCAAAAATCTTAAGATAACTTTCCGTTTTAATATAATATGAGATATAATAATTCAATTTTTATTAATACAATAATAAAAGAAACGTACATGAAATAAAAATATGGTAATAAAGAAGATACCATGATAGTAGTGCAATAAATTTTAAATAATAGTATGTATGTTAATATGTAGGGTGTATCTAGTACTAATTGGGGTAGGTTAAAAGAAAATAACTCTGTTTTTAGTGAGATTAGAGAAGAATCGTAAAAGAAAATTTTGTACTATTTGATAGGCTTCCTCATACTATCATATTAGTTTTTTTTATTAACACATTGATTTAATTGATATTTTTTGCACATAAATCGTTTCTTCGCGTCATTTTAAGTAAAAAAGGTTTACGATATTGTCAATAAAAATTCAATATTTTTGTTTAGATATTGTACTTCGAAAATTATGAAAAGCGTATGACTTTGTTACATTGAAATCATTACCCGGCTATCGTATTTATTTATAGCATGCTTTCAGTAAATTTTTAAAATAAAATATCTCGAAAAATATTGAGCTTTTAATAGTAGTTTTTTAATTAAACCTTTTTCACGTAAAATGACATGAAGAAACGGTTTATGTAAAAAAAACATAGAGTTTCACTTAAAAAAAAAATGCAATTGCGTTTTGCAACTGCATCAATGGATTTATGAAAGAAACTGATATTATAGTGTGATGGAGCCTATCAAATAGTGCAAACTTTTCTTTTACGATTCTTATCTAATTTCACCAAGAACATGAGGTATAACCTGTTCAGTTACTAGATGCAATACTGCATATTTTATTAAATTTATTTGTAATGACAGAATGTAGAATTTCTTATAGATTTCTAAGAGAAACATTGATGGATCTATTGTTTTCTCTTAGTGATAGTAAATACTATACCGTTTTGGAAATAGTAAGTTTCGAGGTTTTACATGAAATGTGTTATTGTTTTCACTTGTACCTGTTAGTTCTTACATAAAATTGACATTTTACTAATTTTATCTGATTATTGTACTCTTGATTTAAAAGGAATGCTTTACAACTTTATATTTAGGAAACTGTAGAAACGGAGCTTCATACTCAACAGTAAATACTTACGTATGCGATGTACTCCCGCTGGTAGCAAAATGAACCGATGAGAAGTTCATTACGTGACAAACAAAGATGCTGTTGTATCGTGACTGTATCTATCTTTATCGTAAACGCATATTACTAATACTATATATTTTTCATTAATTCATGAAAAAATATTTTTTATATTTTAAAAATACAAATTTTTCAGGAGCACCCTTTTCCATCATTAACGCCCTGGCAGTATTAGGTTATCGAGTTGTTTGTTGCACAGGAGAAGCTGAGATACTTTGGACGCTGCAAAGAGAACTGTAAAATCATCGATTATTTTAAAGTTTAAAATTTGGCAGCAAACCACGTAAATTTTGGAAATTAAAAGATGCGTGCGGATACCATAAATTTGTATAGTGAACAGACCGCCGTTCGAAGCGCAGTGTGTTTACTTGTTCATTACCAATTTCCGGTAGATATTTCTTTAACTTCCTTCTAAAACATATACCCAAGTACTAATGGTCTGATCGACCAAAATTGAAACCGCAATGCGCGTGCGCAAGCAGTCACATGGTCGAACGGAAATTCTGTCTGAGTCTTCATCAATTTGATCAATCTTTTCCCAAGTTCTTTTCATTTTTAAATAACTGTTAAGCGACACTTGGTCTTGGTCTGAAAATCGATCGGTCAAACTGTACCTTTTAACGAACGAAGATATATATATATATATATATACAAAGTGATTTATGATAAACATTTTTACCGATTTTTATAAATTCGTAAAAAGCCGCGTTTAACGGTAAATTAAATCATTTTGTACTGTTTTATACTTAAACTATTATCGATTATGACTGTTTCTGTTTCGTTATTTGGATACGAGTCGCAGTATGTCGGGAATTGTTTTCAATTTTTTATAACAATTACCAACAATGATAAGACTGTACGGGGTACAACTTTTTGAAATTCTCTGTATACTCTGTCAATGAAATAGTCCGTTGCAACCGTTAATTTATTCAGCCAATAATATTGCATGAAAGCAATTATTAAAAGGAGAATGATCTATGCATAAAATGGTAACAATTATAAAAATAACAGAAATTCAAAATTACATTTCTGTTAATGTTTATTAGAAACTCTGAATTATATTTAAAAAGAGTTTTGTATAATATATAACCCGCGTTGATTTTGTTTACATACAACATTCTGTAGTCTTCTATATACAGATGCTTTTTGTAACAAAAATGTTATATTCCGTATTATTATTGTTATTTTTTAAGTATGTATTTGTAATTCTTGTGTTAATGTAAAGTGTATGGAATCAAAACTATTGTTAATATTACGCAATATGATTAAGAAATTTATATTGCAGCTAGCATTTATTATATTAATTTTTAAAATGATTAAACAGTATTTGATAGTGCAGTATCATGCTTTGCTAATATGAAACTATTTATAGCGAATACATCAAAAGTTCTGTTTATTCTAACATAAATATAATATTATATAAAGGCCGATTTTGTGTAACGGCCTTATTTTCGTAAGCAAATTCAATATTCTTACAGGTTATAAAATTGTACACACATATATACACAGTATAAACAAAACACACCTTTTATATATTGTGAAGGAATACCATTTAACAAAATATATGACATACCACAATTATTAAAAACCTATTTACAGTTTCTTGTGATTTGTTTTATAAATTATTACTTTTATTTTGAACCTATTTAACAGAGAAATTTACTCGAACATACTTTTTATGTTTTCGGTGAATTAATAGATAGGCGAAAATCATGCACGTAACTATAGCGAAATAGACAATAAAGATGGAGCATAAACATGGTTCAAATGAACACAGCGTGTGCTGCAGTTCAAACAACAATGTTGATGTTCGGCAATCTCTTCATGAAATGGAATTTGAACGAGGTATTTGGTATGCAGGTAATTAATTAATTTTATTTAACATTACAGCATTTTTTTATGTTTAATTACATTTAAGATATGTACATTACAATTTTCAGCACAATATAATGATATGGATCGTGTAAAATTATTATTGGAAAAGGGTGTTTCAGCCAATGCAGAAGATTCTGCTGGATATACAGCCTTACATTATGCAGCACGAAATGGACATTATCAAGTCTGTAAAACATTATTAGAAAACGGTGCAGCAGTAAATGCACAAACCCGTTGTGGGCGTGCCACTGCACTCCATAGAGCAGCTAGGCAAGGTCACATCGACATTGTTGAACTTCTAATACAATTCGGCGCAAACGCTAACTTGAAAGATGCAGATGGTTATATCGCTTTGCATAAAGCGCTTGATGCTGGTTCTATAACTATTTCAAAATTTCTTGTAACACATACAAACTTAACATTAATGATTAACGATAGGCAAAGTATAGAAAAATTGGCAAACGAAAAATGTCCTGACATTCTGTCAGTTTTATCAACATACATGAACGCGGATAATAGTAAATAATCCTATACAAATTTCCAATTTTATTAAGGATTATAGAAGATATTGAAACACGTTTAATTTTTGTCTTCTCCGGAAATAATTTATTACGAAATTAATTAATAATGTATGCAAACAAAGCTTTCATGAATTAATTTATAGAAACTAGAATTAAACAGGTGTGTTTATTCTATTAAGAATTCTATTGTACGTTACAAATTTTTACTACATTGAATTGTAAGTAACTATGCATGTTTTAAATACATGAAATTAGTTTATTAATGAACAGAACATTCAGAATGTAATTTAGTGATAACAAAATTTCTAAACTTTGTATGATAATCGCAGATATTATTAGAAAAAGTATAAACATTTAGAGATTTACTACTGCTTGATTTTAAATCTTCTATTCAGAAAAAGTGATGCAGGGAAGAGCCAAATCAGACACTGTAAATAACTAGAACCATCTTAATGAAATTCTGTGTTGTACCTACCGGTACTTATCGTGTGTCCTGTAAAACTTTCGAAGGCACACAGTTAAAAGCTACACGTTTGATTTTCATTTTTGTTATTTTGCCAAAATATATATCATCGTTGATATATTCAAAGCGTGCGTGTTACGTTCCTACTCCATTTATATTTCTCCATTTTTACAGAAAACAGTTACCATAAAATTAATCACTCCTATTTATAATCATTATCATGTAACTTTTCTGTAGACATATAAACCAATTTTATTTCGAAGTCTAAACGACAACAAATTTCTCTTTTTTTCAGGATTAGTTGAAATGTCTTTTTGAAAATACAAGCCGAGTTTTGTGATATCAAATCATTTATTCTAAACTTGTACTTCGAAGTTGTATAAAACTTCGTATTCCTTCTGTGAAATTATGTCGTGATCCAAGTTTATCATACGTGGATTGATATGGCACAACTATAACGAGTAACATTAGGAATACACCCAAAATTGCTGACTTTTACTGTACACTTGGTATATAGATATTATCATTTGGAGTATACATATTAAGTGTGATATAAATTAAAAACTTTATTAAAAAAATAAGAAAAAATATATGATATAATGTGAATAAAGATATGATGTGAAGTACAACTTATTTATTATTCAAACAAATTGTTCAAGGAAAAATTGATGAACAAGTAAAAAATTATAGTGTGAATATTTTATTATAACCACTAACATTTGTTGAATTGTATTATAATATTGCAACTGCATATTAATGTTGTAACATGATATTGCAAATAAATTATTGTAAAATGATTGTCCCGTGCTGTTTGATAATATTTATGGCATTTCCGACATTTACAATTGTACATTAAAACATGCTTAACATCAAACATAATCTGCAAAAGTATATACTGATAAAAATTTTCATGAATTGACATTAAAAATAAAAAACTTACATTTATGATTCATATAAATTTATTAATTTTTTAATAGACATGATCAAATATTATGTCCCACATAGTACCGGTATACATAATTATGTTTCCCATTATAATAAACTGTAATTCGTACTATTAAATTTAATATTAATTACCATTTAAATTATGTAAGAAATATACAATTTTTTATAAATACGTAAAATAAGAAAACTGAAATTGAATTTATTTATCAATTACTATATAAAATTTAGGTTTGTAAAATGAAACAACGCGTTTGTGTGTATAAAGAAACAAGAACTGAAAAAAGGAATAACGATAGGAGAAAAAAGGCGAGGAAGAAAGACAGATGCACGAATTATTCAGTGTACCGATAAAAAAATAAATTTACAAATAAAGTTGATGGTTAAGCATTGTCGTTTGTCCCGTTCCATGTGCTCTTCGTAATGAAGAGGGTCGTGCACTTGATATTGAATCGTTCGTGTACGATCGTAGATTTTCGGATGGATTCGGCGGTCGTCGTCAGAATTCGACAGTATTCGATGAGTTGCGGTACGCGGAGAGCACTACGGCCGCCGGAGCCCCCTCGTGATACACAGTGCTGCCACCTTGTGGAACACCTCTCGTTCGCTGTACGACTGCAATCGTTGCATGGAGTCAGTCGTTTCACGAATACCGCGGGTGGTTTGCGCGAAGGCTCGCCGCTGCCTTTAACCGTTGTGCGACGGATCGTCCGTCGTTTCGCGGTCCGAGGTTCGTCCGCGTGTCTTCGACCACCTTTCCCGCTTAGATTTCCGTGCGGTTTTATTCGTCGATTTTAGTGACAATCACGAGCGATGTAACCGTACCCTGACGTCACACGGCTAATCAAGTGCACACACGAACGCAAACATGGGCGCGCGCGCGCCTGCCACTCGTATCCGTATACACGGACGGTCTGCGTAGCTGCGCACAGCGTACTTCGTTTGAATACGTGTAGGACTGTGCACACGACCAAACTGATAGAACACAAAAAAGAGGGAAACATCATGATCGCGAACGACAGAGGAGAAAGAACGGAAGTAAAGAGATAAAGAAAGAAAGAGATATATATGTATATATATATATAAGTATATACGCGCATATATTATATACATATATATATATGTGTATATATATGTATATATATATATATATTCTCATGCCGAGAGAACGGTGTTTAGAGAAAAGGGGTGAGGCGTAAAACGTATATACGGAGGACATTTCACACTGGTACCCGTCTCTAAGCACTTGTGAGCCTTTCGCTTTATAAAACATTACGTATTGCGATATTATGGAGAGAAATACACGACAATGAACATCGATGTTTTTCTTCCGTTCAAAATACTCGGATATCGACGTTTCTCGAACGTTGTGTGTTTTTGTGTTCATGCTTTGGAAGGAATTTCGCGTTTCCGACACGTGCGAAACAAAGCTGTGAAATAGAATAAAGAAGACGAGAAAAGAGTGAGAGAGAAGTATCTACATCTCGTGGCGCCCCGTTGTGTTTTTCTATGGAAAGCTGGGCTTGGAACCTGCGTGGACTTTCGGTGTGGAAGAAAACCAACTACATACAACCAAAGAGACTTATTCCCATGACCACTACATGAATGGTCGAATTCTTACGTGTTTTATGGCATAATCGGTGAAATCTACGAACAGGCGAGCGAACCTTGAATGGATGAACTCCGATGGATGGTCAAGTTTCGTTTCAATCCAACCGGTCAGTGAATGCGATAATTTTGTGTTTATCGTTTAATATTCCCTTTTTTCTTTCCCGTTGCCCTAATGTCGCGTGAATTTTTAATTGGTGAGCAAAAAGTGTGTATATGTGACACTATTGTGAGAATACAATGTTGGCGCGATAATAAGAAAGTGGGGTCCCCATGTTCCGTTTTTATTAACTTGTCGGACGGTCCACTGCTTTGAGAGTCAAGTTCGTCGCGCTTCGCTGTACGCGCCGTGTCTGGCGCGCGCATACTTCCTCACGCTTTCAGTTGCGCTCCGCGACAAGCTTTCTACTTGAAGTGAGATGAAACGTTTCCTCTCTGTGTTATCGAGAATTGCTGGTAAGGGTAACATCAGATTGTGCCCCGATTACGTTCTTACTTGGACCAGATGTAATTAAAAACCGATCCGATCGGTGGAACGTTCACGTGGACGTGACCTTATCGTTCCAGATTCAATGTTTCCAGTGTATACCGGGGAAACCATTTTCTAAATATTTTAGAATTTTAATGAGACGCAATGCAGGAAATATCGATTGCTCGCCATTCTAATATATTTTGGTTTATGGTTGAAGGATATTGGGTTCAGAAGCTTTATCGACGTTTCATTTCCTTTGGGGGAAAATTTGGTTACTCTGATTGTTTTCTGCGGCCCGTTTATACATTTTCTCATTGTTAACTTTAGTTGTCAGCCCGTCTTGTGGACGAGGTTTTGAATTCCATGGGAGAGCCGAGTCCGCGGTTAGAGAAGTTAAACGTCGACGACAATATCGATCAACTTTTCCTAAACGTGTCTCGGTCTACATATGTTCGGAAGCAGAATGGGGTGTGGACATGCGCGTATATACAGAACATTGTATTAGTAGTGCGTCGTCAAGTGCGACGCCATGTGATGCGCGAGATTGCGATACAGCAGTGAGTGATCTTTGTTTCGAAAAATCTAGCTCGTTCACTACCAGGCATTTAATATTAATAGCGAAATTGACACATATTTGCTTTACATTTGATATTATAACACGACAATGCAGTAAATTTATGAAAATGACATGTCTGATCGCCATTGATTAATATTAATTTATAATTACAGTTTGTGTGTATACATGTATCTATCTATCAATCTATGTATATAATAATTTGTTACTTTTTATTTTTCTTTAGTACATAGATGTCACCAAATTAATGTTAAACAATGTCGATCAAATTTGTTATTTTCATAAATTCGCTATCCTGCCTTATTGTAATGTCAAATAATAAGCAGATTTTTACATGTAATGTGCGTCTGTATAAATTTTTCGATATCGTAGAAATCTACATGACCGACACACTTATTGTTTTAAGATCTGCGTAAACGCGCCCCTATTCGGAGAGGATGCGCGCAGTCGATTACGAACGTTAGAATTACAAGAGATGATAGAGTGTACGATTAGAGTTATTTAAAATCGAGAATTATACAGAAATTAAAACAAATGGCATTTAGTAAAATTCAGTTGTTTCAAATATATCTGTTTTCATCTAAGTATGTGCTTACCTTACACGTAATTTTAATAATCGCTAGAAATTGTGACATGGTTGAATAATATAGAGAAGTTGTAGTTTAATAGCTTCTTCTTTATCACAAACAGTTTATACGCTATATTTTGATTCGCTCAAGAAATATTGTCCGAGATGTTAATCGTTGCGATGAAAGTGAAAAAAATTGTATTCCCGAAACAACATACAGTTATAACATGATTGTACATTCCGTCATTTGTTGTGTCACGATTGTTGATATTTCTTGTATCGTTGAACAGTTATTTTTTGATTGCCAGGATCGACAAGGTTACGAACATCTCGCCGAGTCTTTGCGGAAAGAAGGAAGGAAGACGAGGACAAAAGAAACTTAAGCAGCTTGATCTTGGCAAGGCGATTGTCGAAGAAACGAATAATTCAGCGGTGCTCGCGAGCAACACGATTCCCTAGTCTCTTCAGAAGAATCGCGTGTCGCTGAATATTTATAAGAGATTCTGCGTTTGGAAAGCGGATAGAAAACTGATCGTTCCTGAACGGTGACAACAGCGACTAACCGAGGGAAGAAAAAACCGTAGAAAATAAGAGGGACGTCTAAGGTTTCTATTTACGTCGATAGATTACGCGTGTGTCGTGGAAAAGAAGACACGAATATATCTGGACTCGTATACAAGTGGATGAGCGAGCGAGAAAGTAACGACGAAAAGTGAACCCAATGTTCGAGGGCAAGATAGAAATGAAGGTGACAATACTCGGTCGATAAGAAGTGTCCTGTAACGTGCCAACGAGACAAAAGTGTAGTAGTTATTTCGGTTGTTTCGATGACAGTGACGTGAATATTTCGACAGGGAAGTCGAATGTTGGTAAATGAAGAGGATAGTAACGATAAAACAATGCGATTAAGAACACGTGTTCAGTCAGTGAGACTCGCTCGAGGAAAAGAAACTATTTGCCTGCGTTGATTTTGAATTTGCCGCGTTGTGATACAGAACCTACTGTGCCAGTTGAACGTGACATTGGAAACGGAATATACCTTTAATTGCTTCGTATTTTACTTTACTGTTTGTTTCTGTGTGTTTCGGTCCGTGGTGATCACGAGCAAACAACTCGGCCGTGAAAAGTTCCGCATATAGAAATTCTTAATCATTGAAGGGGAGGAAAACAAAGAAAAAGGATCGTATCGTATTGACGGATTTGGGAAGTGTCGGTGGTGAATATTAGTGGTGCGTTCGTTCGATCGTTGTCGGTGGTGGTATCCGCATTGTTGTGGTGTGGGCATGTGGTGAAGGGTGGTGGTTGTGGTGGTAGCAGATCGTGTAAAAAGGGACGATTGGGACTCTTAACTTATTATCACGGATCTCTCCCGGCAGTTTGACACCACAGCCATCCTCGATGAGAGGAGGCACATGTCCATTGCAACCGCTGAAAATGCAGGGTAAGTTCTTGAATCTTTATTTTCCCCTCTATTTCCTTCCTCGTTTCAAACATTAACTTACAAGCTTCCTAATATATATATATATATATACACCATAAAAAGCGAGACGGAAAACTTTTCTCTTGTCTCTTGTCAATTTCCTATACTCCAATAGTTGAATAGTTCTAAACACATTCGTGAACATCTACGAGAAAGGGGCGCCATCTTCAACTTTCTTTTTATATTGTCTTTCACCTGATCAGTTGATCAACTGAAAGTCTGCGATTAGTGACAAACATTTTATGCAAACCAATCCAAGTTTCTGTGGATTTTTAAGGTATTTCGGTATAGATGAAGATGTTTTGTTCGTTAAAACGAAAAAGGGACTTTTTCTTAAACATCTCACCCAGCGTTATCGTTTCACTGATTCTGCAATTGTTTTCAGATGATTATACATTGTTCGTGTACAGTAGATATAGGTCACGGGGTAATGAACATATTATACGCAGTTAAGTTTGCTGTTCGATTTTAATACAAAAAACGTTGTATCGCCATTAACATACGGTTGTTTAAGTAAAATTAACTGTAGTGTCTAGCGACAAAGTATTTATATCTCCCCCGAACAATCACGTCTAATTACACTGCTTAAAATAATTAGGGTATCTGACTATATAAAGTGTCCTAGAAAACTAGGTCGGCGAGGACTGTCGAACATTTGGTACGGAATACACGAGTGTTATAAAGTGAAACGTATCGCTATTGGTAGTTTCGATCCTTCAAATTGTTATTGCGTGTTTAACTCAACAGATTATTTTTAAGGATGTAATGTGATCGCTTCTAAATACATTTACATATTATGAATTTTATATTCAATAACACATTTATAATTTGTGTAAAATGCAGAAGATTTTCTAAAGAATAAAAAAATTGTTCTTGAAGAATAAAGCTAAAAATGGTTTTCTGAAATAAATCTTGACCGTAACCTTACTTCATTTGCTTTTCACACCATTTACAGTTACGAAGGGATTGCCAGTTTATAGCGAATACCCTTTACAGGATTTACGCACGTTATACGCTCGTAAAGTTACGATGTTAAGTAAATAGAAGTGTTACATAGCTGCTCGGCACAATTAACCTCTTAAGTGAAATATTACGCGGACGAAAGTTTTGCATCCGTTTCTTTCATTCTTCTTCGGTATTTTCCATTTTCTTGAAATGGTTACATTTTTGGGCACTATATTCAAATGTTCAAACGTAGTCATTAGAATAACATTTTTATAGATCATTTTAAAAAATGCGGAAACATCAATTTCATTAATTATGAACATTCATTACAGTATCATACCATACATCCTGTTCCTCGACATCATATTTGTAGACCGTTAAAAATTAGACTATAATTATAATATAACAGAATATTTTACAAATATTTTATTAAGTATATTCTATCTGAAGATTGTACGAATACCAGAACTAAGAAAAATTTAATAAATTTAGTTCACACACAATTTCCTATTATAGACAAGTTATTTGCTGATAGTGTGTCCGGATTGTATCGAAATAATTAAATTATTCTTAGAAAAACAAAAGGTACACAAATGTATTGAATACATAGAATATTATGGTTTATGGAATATTTAAAGGATCGAATTAACGAAAAGGGGATAAAAAGCATCTCAGGAATATAGAGGGTTCACATGGGAACCAGGGGAATAAAAATGCTGTATACGTGTCTTCTTATATGTGTCGCTCGAAATTAATGGCCGGACCTAAGGGGTTGTGGTCTACCTTCTTAATGGCCTTCTCAAGTTCATACACAACGGTGTTTAAATTATTAGACTCACAAAGGAACTAGAAAATCTCGACTTTTTCGAAATACCCATAACTCGAAGCGTATTCTGATCAATGAGTGAAAATCAAATACGTTCCTTTTGGTTTTAATAACTTTAGGTTCTTTGAACACACTTCAAAAGTTCTCACACGCTTTTGAATTTTATCCTATGTTTCTAAAACTATAATAGAAGCGACGGAATGATTACATTTATAGTTTGGTGATCTTCATATGTACGTGTAACCGATTTTTAAGTTTAAATGTATAAACGTTTTATTTTTACAAAAGAAAGAAATTTATCTGTTGACTTACAACCATTATAACATGAGAATATGAGTACATTAATTTAAATAAAGAATTTCACTACAATAATTATTCTTCACAAATATTCTGCCCTTTGGTTGTTGTAAATTATAGATACGTTCCAGTATTACCCGTGATTAGAAAGTTTGTATATATTTTCCAAGATAAAGTTTATTACAAAATTTGATTCACAGGAAAAATTGCACAGAGTTAAATTTTCCGTCGACTGACAAGGGATTTCATTTATAATTCTTCACTGTACAAGTAGATTTAAGGTCGTTTCACATGTGAATGGAAAATACAAATGATTTTACTTTGAGATAATTCAACTCCTAAGAACAATTAGAGCTGTAAAATGGATATAATCTGTGAATAAAAATCGAACAAGGCATGTTCAACCTGTGAGGCCTCATGATCTCCATTCGAAGTTCACGTATATTTAATGGTTACCACGTTTTCCTATTATTTTTTAGGTTTTTCAAAGTTATGACGTTATGACGTTACTAAGTATTTTATCATATTTTTCTGTATTTATTTGTAATATCATAATTATGTCATCTACGAGTAGAATTTTTATTCTCCTCACATAAACTGAAATTAATTATAATTATTAATCCTCGCAATACTGGCAATTTTACAGCGACTTTATAGACTTTATTATACAAACACTTCAAGCTCATATTTTGTTATTTTGTCGCTCTATGTTTATTGTTAAGGAATGTAATGTTAACTAAACAATTGAACAATGCAAAGATTAAAAAAAAAACAATTTTCAGCTCAGGGTCTGAACGAATGGACCTAAACGTTATACGACGAAAGTTAATGCATTAACTTTAATATTTTAAAGTAAAGTTAAATTGTGTAACATTGATGCAAATTCCGAACACGTAAAAGTCGAAATGTTACCTGTAATATTAAAGGAAAATATTTTTGTTCGATTCCATTACGAAGCAAACAAAATCTTTAAAATCACATAAAATATAGTGATATAATTCTACGATTAGCAACAGAAGATGAGCAGTTTGCGCGTCAATTCGAGTCTCTTGACAGGGTAGTCCCTTACCGAAGTGGGTCCTGCGTATTATGAAACGGCCTGTCTAAGGTGGAATATTCGTTACAGTCACGTGCAATTCTTCGGATAGCTGCGTGTCCCCATTCGCCGGCCCAGAAATACACAATATCTTCTCACGAGAAGAAGAAAGGAGTGGTGCATCATCCGTCGTTATGTTTGAGTTAAAAAATTTAAGAGCTCTTCCTTTGAAAGGTTGAATTGTGCCGACACCTGCTGCCCTTTTTTCTCCGCTCGTCTTCTTTCTTTCCTTTTTCTTCCCCTCTCATGGAAACCTCCTTTTGCATCCAGCCTCTTCCAGTTTCTACCGAACCTATCTCCGGCCTCCGACTACCTGAGGAGAGAGAGATACCTTCTTCGTATCCCGAAGCCATTTTCCGCATACTCGCTCAGCCAGACGCTTCTTAAAATTGTCTCACAGCTTGTCCGTTGTTCTTCGCAGCTTTATTAACCTTCGATTCTTGCAACGGATTCACCGAGACTCCGTAGAACTTTTCGAATCGATCATGATTCCTGTCGTCTTAATCCTTTGCCATCCGAAATACTATCGGTTCATCATACCAGAACTTGTGTCAGGGTTACATTATTTAAATGGAATTTAACGTGGCACTTTTGTAGTTCATGTATTTGAGAATACTTGGGAAATGTTAGAATTATACTTATCTATGATATGACAGCGATATTGCGGATAATTACTACAAAAACTGGTAAAATATGTAACTGTGGAGTGAAATCTAGTGTCCAGTCTGCCTAAACATCAGACTGCAAAGGATTAACTTTCGAAATACAGGAGTCGAAATCTGTTAGTACTTAAATACTTAATATGGATGGGGAAAATTGTAACCCCTTCCTTTTGTCCTAATCGTTATTAACAGCTTCTTATAAAGTGCACTGATTCTTTAAATGGATTATTAAGTTATATTCAAGTTTTTGGTGACTTTTATATATATATATTTTGATATTATTTCCTTACGTTTTTGTTGCTTCGCGACGTGTATCGCTATTCGTTGACATATGTCTCATAAAAATGTTTCCTTACAAAAATTGCACGTGTACCACAACTGGTACACGTGGCACAGAACGTATTAAATGTACTCTGTATTCAGAATAAGAGCCCCGGGACGGCACAGCAACAAAAGGGGTCTCTCGCTGTGTTTTGTTCATAATCCTGATTGGTTACGTGTAACCGCATTAACGAATAGCAAATTAGTATAGAAAATGAGATCAGGAACGATGGAAGCTGACCAATTATACCCGCATTCCTTCCTGCGCTTTTCTCCTGAGCAACACTAAGTGCATACAAGTAAATCAAAGAAAAAAATAAATCTATTTGTGTTTCCGAAGGTATGAACTTATTGTTTCTGGTCAATTCAGATAGTTATATCAGAACGGAGAAAGTTGAAATTACAACAAAAACATAATGCTAAAAGTACGAACACATGTAGGTATATACCACATTCGATATTATCCGAAGTTAACCATGTTGCGGTCTTCCATTTAACTGTGGATTTTAAATAATGTCGAAAAATGAATAACATGAATATTGGTAACATTGTTATTATATATTTTGTCGAAGTTTAACTCTGGAAAACAGAAAGCAAAAGCTAAAATTTGATTAACATCTATCATTACAAACCAGCTAATCATTACAAATTCAACGAATGATCAGTTTTTTTATTTAATAAAAATAATATAAAATCGTATGATCGTATACTATCGTCACGTTATTGTTCATAAATAGAACTTCAGTAAGCATGGCTATTATCCGGCGTCGTATGGAAAATAACATTTTTAGACACTATTAGACAACTCGTCTGATAAGAAACTTGCGTAACGATACATGTTTCGTTGCTTTGTACTTCTGTTTCATGCAATCAATACATTGTATACGCGCTTACGTAATTGCTGATAGACTAATTCGACACAGCTGACAAAGAATCTGCATTGAGCTGGAACCGCATGAATAATTTAGTATTTGAATACCTTGTAAGTAGCCTACAAATTTTAACCCCATCCCCATGCATATGGGGTCCATGCAATCATATACTATGATGTAGATATATGAAGATATATAATCATATGTATTTTAAATATACAACTAGTAGTACTTATAAACATACATACTCTGTGTGAATACTGCATTTAAATAATAAAGAATATTTAATATACATTTAGATTGTATGAATTTACTGCATTAAATATGTCTATTTTCATTGTATTTCCATTCTATTTAATCTGTTTACACTGACATAATAATGTATACAATTTTAGGTAGAACAAAATTTTACGAAAAAGGTGCCTGCTGATAATTTTTTGTTAGTTTTGCATAAGTATAGGCTAAATTAGGGTTTAGTACAAAAGGAGATTAAAACATACAGTTTGAGAATCACGGTCACCCACGTATATATAGAACTTTTTATTCAGAATGTAATCGAGGGGATAAAAAAATAGGCAGCATCTCAAAAATTGGCTTGGAAGTTTTTGTTTTGTTAAAGTAAAATGATTTCATACAATTTTTGCGTGTGTTAATCCGACAGACAATGCGTTGATAGTTATGCCTTTAATAAAGTGGTAATATTATTGAGTTAGAATTAAAATAACGTTTACTAAGTACCTATGTAGGTAAAGTTGTATAACTATATCAGTGGTGGGTATAGACTTACTGTTAATGCTTGCAAAAATGTTGACATATTTTCGAACTCCTATCAGTTGTTTAATTATTCCTTGGTATATATTTACACTCTATTGGTTGGCTTTTACTTTTTATGTATTATATTCTGTTTCTTTTATCTTCGCACATATGTGACAGCAGTTAGTCATAGAAAAGAGTACCTATTAATTGTGTGTGACTGTTCATAAAAAGTAGATATTTCTGTTTACTGTTGAAACATAACTGAAACAAAATCGAATGTTCAATTTAAAGTACATTTTTAAAAATAAAAATAAGACATATGTCCAAATTAATACAAAAGAAATACAAAATATTTACTACTCAAAAACAATGGGACAACCTTAAAATCCTTAAATTTCCTTTATTTTCCTTTATTTTCATTGCATATACATTATGCGATGTACCATTCGAATCCGCTTGATTTTGAGTAATCTATTCTACGCTATATCATATGACATTGATTCAACAATGTGGAATATGCTGACTTTTGCGTAATCCAATTCTCGGCTTTCATAGGCGTTACGCTCAAGTTAAAAATCAAAACATCGGGTAACTCTATCAGAAAAAAATGACAGAAAGATAAGATTTCGAGTTTCGATTACACAAAAATAAGTGTAAGGAAACCGCTTAATGTTAGATTAGGATACTTTTAAGTAATGTGCCTTTACATAGCCTCATAATCCCCTCCCAACGATATGTTTTATTAGCTCGTAAATAAGACCTTAGAGACTCTCCGTGCAGCTACGTGGAACAGTACATTCGAAAATAACAGCCTCTCCGGAGCGAATTCCTTGACTTGCTTTCAGGCTGGCCAGACGAAGGATAAACGACACAGCCGGCAACCTCTCTCGCGTGTCCCCTACGTATCAATTCTCTCTGGTATTAAACGAGACGCGCAATACGCGTATCGAAAAACGACGTATCCACAGCTCGTCGTAGTCGCGAAGGAAATTGTGGAGGCACGCGAAACATAAGGATAGAACACAGGCTTGCGGCGCGCGGCACGTTGCGCGACGGTCGAGACCCGATCGCCGCGCCGGAGAGAGTCGCGTGCGAGCCACATGCAGCCAAATAGAAACTTAGCTCGGTGCTGCGTGGGCGTACAGAGTCGCGCGCGCTGCTTCGCCTCTATAACTGATTCATCATCGGCCGACGACTGATGTACGTATCCATCGCGAGACATTAACGTTCTACGCGAACGAGCCCCAGTAATTAAATCTGCGTCATCCGTCAGCGCCCCCGGCTATAGAGAAACTACAAGGAAGAGGTCGTTAATAGCGACGAAAGATTAGGTTAGGTTACCTTCTTAAATGACGCATTCTTATCAGGAGCATCATCTTTTATGCTTCTGACCCAAATTCATGTAATTCCAGTTCTCATTGTATTTTCACGGCGTCTTTGTATGTCTGAAGTGTGTAATAAAGACATAATAATCAAAATTGAAAAAGATTGGTACTATGTATAACCGTTATGCTTACCGTCAATGAACGACAGAGAACTTTCGGATCGCTCTTGGCCGCGTGTCACGAACAACCAATAGTTCATATTACCACTGTAACATCAATAGCAAAAACACTGAGAGAAACGGTTGCGGATGCTTTATAAATTGATAGACGGAAGTAATGATAACTTAAATTCTTAGACATGAAATGGTAACTGCAGATAAGCAATATGTTTCTAGAAAAATACAAAAAATTCGAAAAAGACGGGCGAAATCAATCCAATGTCTGCCGAATAGCGAGTACCGTACAATAAGTCACGTGGTCGTAGTCGACCGCGGCCGCGGGCCGAGGCGAGCCGAATCGAACCGAATCGTGCCGAACCTGACCGAAACGTGGCCGTGGCGCGGTACGTCGCGCCAGCTCGGGGATATAGATCCTCCGGTGCGCGATGCGACGTTGCCAAGTCATTTCTATGGAGCCGGCCGGCTTCTGAACCAGCCGACTCTTTCGTTCGTTTGCGTTCGCTCGCTTGCCTGCTAGCTTATTTGTCTACTTGCCTAAACTGCCTGCTTTCCTATCTACTT